ACAATAGCACTCAAATGTCTCACACAACAACTCAACGAATCATGTAAAGTTCATATTTTAACACAAAAAACAACACAATACACCAATTACTCAAATATTTACTTGCTGTGGAAAGTATATCATTTCAATTATTTGTCGAAACTAATCAATTAGAGCATGTTTGGCCATGATTAAAATTCAAATTTGCTTATCACTACTCGGGTCTCCTAGAGTGCCAGCTATCACTTTTAACAGGCCAGAAATGAAACATCAACAAGATATAAGCACAAATATCATCCTAAAAATCCTAATTATGAAAGATCAATCCACAACAAAAATCTAAATTAATCACCAAAACTCGTAATGAAATTTAACACGTGGAATCAACGATTTATCATAGCAAATGGAAACAGCTACATTGACAGTTTCAGATCATGCTTGGCTAAACTTCAAAGCTATACTAACAAGCAAATAAATAAGGCATTACGAAGAATAAGATGAGGATAAAAGCCATTATTTTGTTTCATGGAGAACTAATTTGGCACGAATTAGGACTACAAAAGGCTGTAATTGAAACAAAAGGCCGAGAATAACCATACAAGTAGAAGATAACGGCCCCTCCTTTACCTTTATTCAACTATGCAAAAAAGATTAATTCTTTATAATAAACTCTCTTTATGCTTTAACTCTCAAACACCTACTTGCCGCGGAGAGTATGTCATTTCAATTCTTTTCCAAAACAAATCTATTATAGCATGTTTGGCTGTGATTAAAATTCAAATTTACATATAAGCGAATCTTCACTAAACAGGTCTCCTAGAGTGCCAAATATCATTTTAACCAGCCAGAAATGAAAAAAACTGAAGATAGAAGTATAAATATCACCTGAAAAATTCCAATTAAGCAACATTTGAATTGTANNNNCCAATTAAGCAACATTTGAATTGTAAAGATTCAACATTTGAAGATAAATCCACAACAAACAACTCAATTAATCACGAAAAATTCGATAATATAATTTAACATTTTGATTCAACATTATGATCACAATTCACAGGTATACCTGGTGCTTGGTGAGACGCCTACGAATGGCGCGGGTCTTCTTCGGGCGGAGATCAAGCGGCAAGTACTTCTTATTCTTGTAAGCTTGTCTGAGTGCGGCTTTCTGCGTCTGAGAAATCACGGTCAGCACCTGGGCAATGGAAAGCCTCACCACCTTGATTTTTGAAAGCTTATTGGCGGCACCGCCGGTCGCCTTCGCCACCCGCAACAGTGCCAGCTCCGCCTTCAAATCCTTCAGCTGAGCCAGTAAATCCGCCTTGCTCTTCTGCCTCAATTCGTGCACCTTAATCCTCGCTACAAAAGTAAATAATAAAAATAACGAATTATTAATACAAGGAAAAACCTGATTATTATGCACAAAAATGGAAATTAGTAGTTTATTTCTCCTACCCATTTCGAGTTTCTTCTTTCTCTCTGTAGACGAGTGGAATAGAGTGATGGAAACTTGGGAAAAGCCCTAACCCTACGAAAGAGAAGATTTTTATTATGTGGGCTCTTATGGACTCTATGGGCCTTTGTTTTTGGGCTATCGAATGAATTTTTTCCAGGGGAAAATTTCACATTTAAGAAATTAAGTTTAGCCTATTTCAAAAATAA